TAAAAGTAAACATCTTGCAGTGACTGCTATGGCCATTGTTTCTCTGTAACACATACTGTACGATTTAATGCTATCTATGCTGTTGGCTAGAATGACATCATCTATCTATCCATGCTGACAAGTTCATTCTGTCTTCCACAAACTGGAATCCACACAGTGCTTCCCCTCAGTGACACAGTATGTTTGTCCATCTTTATGTTAAACAAACAAATCAGGTCAGCCCAACATATCTGGAGGAATAAAAAATAGGGAAGCTGTAAAATTAATACCCAAACTATCAGTTGTAAACATTCATTACAACTAACAGACCACAGTAGTGTGGTGTCTCCTGTGTGATTATTATTGTGGTTGTTGTTGCTATTATCAAAATTATTAAAAATCCAGCCAACTAAAACAAAGCTGGACAAAATCTGATTCTTTGTTTTGTGCACTCTATTGTTAGGTCTCCTCTCTTTTTAGAAAAGTGTACCAAATATCCAACTAGCAGCTGTTCATTTCTAAAATGACAAATGCCTTTGTTACTATGTCATAGCAGGCCAAAATAAAACATGTGGGTTTGTGTGCTCTCTGCAAGCTGCTGTCTGCACTCATCCAAAGAATGTTTATGATATAAAAGATATGTCTGCCCATTGTTTTGTAACTGTGTGTGGAGATAAATGTGTGGTCCACATCTTGGTCGCCTTTGACTGGCGATCCTCTCAGACAGTCTGTGGGTGGGAAGAACACCCTGCCCCCACGTGGCTCACCCCCACACCGCTCTTTGCCTCTCTCCGTCTCCTCATCGATCTCTGTTTTCCCTGGAGATTTCAATGACTTTTTAATTGGATTCAGGTCAACCAATAGCTAGACTTGGCTGAATGGACAGGAGTTACCAGTGTCTAGGCAGATGGGTTGTATCTGCTCAGGTTATTTCCCAATATGAAAAAGGGACAGAGAAAGAAGCCTGTGTGTCAGGTAGAGGGGTGAGAGGGGGGAGGTAGAGGAAGACGGAGGCTGATTGTTTTGATAAGGTGGAATAAGAGGAAACCCTGCCTTTTCCTGTAAGTGCCGGCTGATTGATTATAAACGTATCTGCTGGAGAACGAAATAAGGAAACATCGCCGGCCGTCCCCTCGGTGTGGGAGATGAGTTTAAGATAAAGCTGCTTCTCAATCACTGGGACGCTCTCGGCCATGTGTCTCTCTCCGTGCAGGGGATGCCTGCTTATACTACCTCAAACACTTTTGTTGGCCCCAAGCCCCATTGCTGGTACATGCTGCTACAGCATGTCAAGCGACAGGACACAATCACTGGCACTGGAAATGCTCAATCCATGTATCAGACTATCAGCAAAATGGGGGCAGGGGGTGGGGGAGCTGGGGTTTGGTTAATAAGGGGGAAAGGCAGAGAGAGAGATGGCTGACAAAAGCAGGGTTAGTATGTTGTGTGATTCAGATATGGATCTTTGTCCCCCCAAATACTAAATGTCAAGTTTCTACCTATTTTTCATTACCACTCGCATTTCAGTCCATCTTGCTGACTCTCTGTGACCTTTCTGTGCATATCAGGGCCATGACACAGTCCTTTGGCCGTGACAAACGATGTAACAGTTTAGGTTGTTCAAGACCTGGCAAGGTAAACAAGGGCCTTGTCAATCAGCAGAGCTTGGATGACTGACAGGTTGGGGAGGCGGTGGAGGTGGTGATGTTGGTGTGAGGTGTTGGAGATGGAGGAAGGGAGCCAATCACAGGGAAACCTACATCAGCTCCCAGAGCTGGGAGCAACGACCAGAGACCCAGTGGCAGAGTAACTGTTAAAAATGGGAATGAAAAAAAGAGGAGTTTGTGGGGAGTGACTGGAGTGTTAGAGAAACACTACAGACCTTTCTTTGCTTCAGTCCCTTCTCTCTCTTTCCTCCCTTCACGCACTGTCTTCAACAAACAGTGGGAGCTGAGCCGCAGCTATCCCACTCCTCTCTGTTGCCACAGAGAGAGAGAGAGAAGTGAGGAAAGGCAGTCCGATTGCAGCTGGATTTGAGGGTCATTTGAAGAACACAAATGGGTAAAGCAGAGACGAGCTCCATTTTCAGTTCATACCAGGGAACCAGAGCCTTCTTTCTCTCCCTTTCTCTAGCTTCACCCCCGACACCCGCTGCCCTTTCTGCTACACCACAGCTAAATCAATAGAAATGACAATGCAGTTGGAAGGTCATTTGCAAGCACAGCAGGGTCTGTGTTGGAATGCTCGCTGATATGTGGCACAGAAAAACAAACACACCTCCTGCCAGTGCTACTGCCTGTCTGTCCTGCTCTGGTCCAGCTGGAGAAAATGTACCAAGCTGCTACAATTCCTCTATCTCTTTTGTATACATCAACATGCAAAATGGAGCTGAGTGAGGATACAATGTTACCATGGGTGTTCTGTCTGTCTCTCTCTCTCTCTCACACACACACACCCTATGTAAACACAGTCTGAGAATGAGGTACACGTGTTACACTGGTAAAATCCATAAAATGCTTCTCCCTTCGCTAATGAGTTACCCAGCACTGTCAGGCATGGTGCCTGCACAGCACACAAACAACCACTACAGCTAGAATACTGTAGCTTGTCAGAACTACAGATACCAGCAGCAGCCTGGGAGCAGAAAAGCATCAGAAACATGTAGTGACATTAACACAGAGTTGCTTGTTCGTTACTCACAGAATATTCAGTGGTCCCTTTGGGTCTCTGGAACGACATGTGTCTCCCATCCTTCTTCTCTGGAGTCTTCTTCTGGCCGGTATCTGAAAGCAAGCGAGGCAAGGTATGCATTACATTCATGTTCCTCTCTCCCCAGCTTGTCATAAGCTGCTGTTTCCCAGCCCCGTGGGTAGACAGCTCATTCGTCAACAGTGAGCAAGCCAGCGAGCCAGCAAGCCAGCGAGCCAGCCAGCCAGCGATGTGAGCTGTAAGTGTCGGTCTACTTTCTCTCTCTCTCTCTCTCCTTCTCGCTCTGCTTCTACCCTCCTGCTCTCACGCTCTCTCTATCACACTGTCCTCTCCTTGCTCACTCCCTCTCCCTTCTTCTTCTTAGCTCACTTGTCTAGCGCAATGACAGCCTTTGTAAGCAGTTCACCTTGCCTTCCTCTCCTTGTTGCCTCTCACGGCACACAGGGACCAGGTTGACCTCCATCAGGGCACCACCGCTTTGGATGCGAGCCCGAGAGAAGAAGAATAAGATGGAATCAGTTGAGAAGCAGGGCGTGCAAAAGCTGGGAACGGAGTGGAGAGAAAGTGGGGGCTGAACTGGAGAGCGAATAGAGGAGAAGGGAGGGTTCATGGCTACGTGCTGTTTGGGTAGGATGCTGCACGGGGAGGTGACAGCCAAAGAAGAGAGTGGAGGTACAAACCGGCAGCGGTCATTGTAGCTTGAATTCAACAGATTTCCTACTTTTTGAAATGAACAGGAAGGATTGAAAGAAAAAAAAAGCAGAGTCTGACAGAATAGCAAACAGTGAAGAGTGGTCAACAACGCATAGCCTACATCTTGTACCAAGGTGGCAACTCTGAATCCACACATAAGATTTATCGTATTGGCCTTGGCAACACTTGTAAGTGATATTGTAATGGTGGAACAATATTCAATTAAATATATATAAATTTAATTAATTCCCTCTGTGTACACAGGTACATTGCACTGTTTAATGGTCTATGAAAGGATGTTTGTGGCCAACCTAAAGAGTTGTTCAGACTGATATCTGGTCAGAGGGCAGGGGAATTGTAGGTCATCTTTGACAAAAACCACTTCTGCCACTTTTTTCAAATGAACACCCATTGTTAATCAGCTGATCAACGTCATATCAGCTGCTTTATGTGTTGCCTGCGCTCCAATTGAAGGGTTTCCCCACCCTTGGTGCAATGTAACCAACGACACACCAGCACGATCGAATTGAGTGTAGCTTCATTTCCTTTGGCCTCTGTCCCTGTCAGTAAACATACTTTAGCAAAGAAAAAAGGCAGATGACATGTACAAACATAAGTGACACTGTTGAAGACAAACAGTAAAACAACTGAAAAACATGTAATATTTATGGGAGGTACTCCTGACAAAGGGGGAATGGCAAGTCCATTGTTAAATATTTATTTACCACCCCCATCCAACATGTTAGTGTGCATGTTAACATGTTAGCCAAATTCTGTGACCTGACTGATTCTGTTCCCTGTAGCAGTGCAACACTAGGTTTGCCTTCAGTTAACGCTAAGAGCACCGTGCATGTATAACATCAGTGATTTATTTAACTGATATTCACTGAATAATAGGGTACAAACGAGAGAGAGAGAGAAGTGAGGAAAGGCAGTCCGATTGCAGCTGGATTTGAGGGTCATTTGAAGAACACAAATGGGTAAAGCAGAGACGAGCTCCATTTTCAGTTCATACCAGGGAACCAGAGCCCTTTTTCTCTCCCTTTCTCTAGCTTCACCCCCGACACCCGCTGCCCTTTCTGCTACACCACAGCTAAATCAATAGAAATGACAATGCAGTTGGAAGGTCATTTGCAAGCACAGCAGGGTCTGTGTTGGAATGCTCGCTGATATGTGGCACAGAAAAACAAACACACCTCCTGCCAGTGCTACTGCCTGTCTGTCCTGCTCTGGTCCAGCTGGAGAAAATGTACCAAGCTGCTACAATTCCTCTATCTCTTTTGTATACATCAACATGCAAAATGGAGCTGAGTGAGGATACAATGTTACCATGGGTGTTCTGTCTGTCTCTCTCTCTCTCTCACACACACACACCCTATGTAAACACAGTCTGAGAATGAGGTACACGTGTTACACTGGTAAAATCCATAAAATGCTTCTCCCTTCGCTAATGAGTTACCCAGCACTGTCAGGCATGGTGCCTGCACAGCACACAAACAACCACTACAGCTAGAATACTGTAGCTTGTCAGAACTACAGATACCAGCAGCAGCCTGGGAGCAGAAAAGCATCAGAAACATGTAGTGACATTAACACAGAGTTGCTTGTTCGTTACTCACAGAATATTCAGTGGTCCCTTTGGGTCTCTGGAACGACATGTGTCTCCCATCCTTCTTCTCTGGAGTCTTCTTCTGGCCGGTATCTGAAAGCAAGCGAGGCAAGGTATGCATTACATTCATGTTCCTCTCTCCCCAGCTTGTCATAAGCTGCTGTTTCCCAGCCCCGTGGGTAGACAGCTCATTCGTCAACAGTGAGCAAGCCAGCGAGCCAGCAAGCCAGCGAGCCAGCCAGCCAGCGATGTGAGCTGTAAGTGTCGGTCTACTTTCTCTCTCTCTCTCTCTCCTTCTCGCTCTGCTTCTACCCTCCTGCTCTCACGCTCTCTCTATCACACTGTCCTCTCCTTGCTCACTCCCTCTCCCTTCTTCTTCTTAGCTCACTTGTCTAGCGCAATGACAGCCTTTGTAAGCAGTTCACCTTGCCTTCCTCTCCTTGTTGCCTCTCACGGCACACAGGGACCAGGTTGACCTCCATCAGGGCACCACCGCTTTGGATGCGAGCCCGAGAGAAGAAGAATAAGATGGAATCAGTTGAGAAGCAGGGCGTGCAAAAGCTGGGAACGGAGTGGAGAGAAAGTGGGGGCTGAACTGGAGAGCGAATAGAGGAGAAGGGAGGGTTCATGGCTACGTGCTGTTTGGGTAGGATGCTGCACGGGGAGGTGACAGCCAAAGAAGAGAGTGGAGGTACAAACCGGCAGCGGTCATTGTAGCTTGAATTCAACAGATTTCCTACTTTTTGAAATGAACAGGAAGGATTGAAAGAAAAAAAAAGCAGAGTCTGACAGAATAGCAAACAGTGAAGAGTGGTCAACAACGCATAGCCTACATCTTGTACCAAGGTGGCAACTCTGAATCCACACATAAGATTTATCGTATTGGCCTTGGCAACACTTGTAAGTGATATTGTAATGGTGGAACAATATTCAATTAAATATATATAAATTTAATTAATTCCCTCTGTGTACACAGGTACATTGCACTGTTTAATGGTCTATGAAAGGATGTTTGTGGCCAACCTAAAGAGTTGTTCAGACTGATATCTGGTCAGAGGGCAGGGGAATTGTAGGTCATCTTTGACAAAAACCACTTCTGCCACTTTTTTCAAATGAACACCCATTGTTAATCAGCTGATCAGCGTCATATCAGCTGCTTTATGTGTTGCCTGCGCTCCAATTGAAGGGTTTCCCCACCCTTGGTGCAATGTAACCAACAACACACCAGCACGATCGAATTGAGTGTAGCTTCATTTCCTTTGGCCTCTGTCCCTGTCAGTAAACATACTTTAGCAAAGAAAAAAGGAAGATGACATGTACAAACATAAGTGACACTGTTGAAGACAAACAGTAAAACAACTGAAAAACATGTAATATTTATGGGAGGTACTCCTGACAAAGGGGGAATGGCAAGTCCATTGTTAAATATTTATTTACCACCCCCATCCAACATGTTAGTGTGCATGTTAACATGTTAGCCAAATTCTGTGACCTGACTGATTCTGTTCCCTGTAGCAGTGCAACACTAGGTTTGCCTTCAGTTAACGCTAAGAGCACCGTGCATGTATAACATCAGTGATTTATTTAACTGATATTCACTGAATAATAGGGTACAAACCAGTGGTGGAAACTAAGTACATTTACTCCAGTTCTGCACTTAAATACAATTTTGAGATATTTGTACTTTACTTGAGTGTCTTCATTTTCTGTTAGTTCATACTTTGACTTCACTACATTTTAGAGGCAAATATTATACTCAAGCTATATAGCAAGTACTTCAAATTATTTGCATCTAAGCTGATTCAAACTATCTGTCCCTTTACCAGCTAGAACATTAAATGTGATGAACACAAGAATGCATCAGGATAATTCAATAATATTATACACATTGTTAAATGTGCCATTCCGCATAATGAGTACCTTTATTTTTAATACTTCACATATGTTTTGATGCTGATAGTCTGTACTTTTACTTAAGTAACATTTTGAATGCAGGACTTTTACCTGTAACAAAGTATTTTTACATGGTGGTATTGATACTTTCACTTACTGTAAGAAATGGATCTGAGTACTTCTTCCACCACTGGTAGAAACAATGTTATTTTGACTGTGTTCTTAGTTGTGCAGCTGCAGCACAGCACCCCAGTGAAAAGCAAACACAGCAAATGGAAAAAATGAGTGAGGACAAGGTCAGTGAATGTCAGTGACAACACACAGCAAAAGCCCCATAACCCTTCAACATAGCAGAATGGCTGTAGTGTAGGTTTGATAGTTACTGTAGCTTCTACCAGTGTCAGGCCGTCTGATAATTGGTCTATAATCCCAACAATAAATGACCAATTGTGTTATTAATAGACTCTTAAATACCAAGTTACATCTTTTGTTAAACAAAACTGCCGAAATATGTATAATATAACTGCTGCTTGTCCTTACATGTCTTTCTTTTGTCAGCATTGTACATGACTAATTGAGCACCTTTATTTGTATCATTCTCATCAGACATCTCAAAATATGAGTCACACACCAGCATAGCTATTCCTGGAGCTCAGGACTGGCTGGCAGAAAGTCAGAGGGGAGGGGAAAATCAGAGCAGTTTCAGGTGTAAATATCAGTGTAGTAAATATGATACTGTGGGTTATATTCATGAAACGTAGGCTTAGGCTGTAAAATGTATAGACGTACAGACAGATGACTGACACTGTGCATTTATTGGCTTTATGTAGCTTGGCTCAGTGGGTACAGCAGGTTGTCTTATAATTGTAGGGTTGGCAGTTGGATCCCCAGCTACTCCAGTCCATGTGTCTAAGTGTCCTTGGGCAAAACAATGAGCCCCAAATTGCCACCGGTGTGTGAATGTGTGTGCAGGGCTAATGGTGTGATGCACTTTGTTAGTGTTCCACTGCGTAGAAAAGTACTATACAAGTATAAGACCATTTACCAAAACAGTTTCCTTTGATTTTAAAAGCTGCATTTCAGTGACCTTAATTTTTTAGAAAATACTGCAGCAGTGCTTTCCAAGCTTTTGGTGTCCTGACCATTTAATACAAAGAAATGGCTTCTTGCAAACCTTTGTTACAGGTTGCATACAGTACGTCTATAAAGTTATGAGGGGTTTAAACAAGACACATCACACAAAATCAGTTATTCAGCATTCAAATGTAATCACTGGGAGAATGATTACCTCCAGGAGGAGAACACAAACTGGAGCTGTGGCATTTTAGTTGCTATTTGGAGTCAACACGTCATCATGTGCGATTGCATGCTTTCTTGTTGATGAAATATAATCCAGCGTGTCTCTGTCATGCCAGTGTGGCCTGCATGTAAACTGACTTGGTTAGTAAACAGTGGAGGTGTTGATCTGCTTTGTGAGCCACAGGATTCCAAAGGCAATACATATTTACACCATGTTTTTCTTTTGTCATAGCCTGACATGCTTACCCACAGCTGTAAACACTAAACCGCTGAAACCTGAGCACAACAAGAGTTAACACAAGACCAGATAATACAGAATGAGAGGAGTGGTAAAGAGTGACAATGCGATACAAAGAGAGAGAGAAAGTGAAAGAGAATAACAGATATGCATTAGCAGCTGCAGGGGTGTTTGCACGTGGTGAGCCAGTGTTCGGTCTAAAATTAAACCTCACCATGGTGGTGGCACAAGAACTGGCCATTTTATTCACACTCCAGACACAAAGTGGGGCACAGCACTGGGGCATCTTCAATAACAAAGGCTCTGGTTTCATCCCACTCCACAGGAAGCTGGGAACATCTGTTGTCCCTCAATAAGCCCTGCTTCTACAGAACATGTGATCCTTTCACATCTTCTGATGAATTTTTATTTTTATTCAAGCATGTTTCTGGGGTCAATATACATGTATTTCTTTGATTTTTCCGGGTCAGATACACAATTTTTGCCTTTTTCCACAACTGTAAGATGTTTCACATCATGCATTGAGATAGCATGACATAACATACTGAAGTTCTAGGAGGCGCAGGCGCTGCACTGGACAGGCATGAAGAAATGGGCCTGGGGCCAGTGCCAATCTAGATAAAGTAAACGCAGTTATCGCTGCTGAACAGCCTAGTGGAAACATGTCTGAAAGAGGTGAGCCGAGGTCGCTAGCTACAGTGCCTTGCAAAAGTATTCATACCCCTTGAATTTTTCCACATTTTGTCACATTACAACCACAAACTTAAATGTATTTTATTGGGATTTTATGTGATAGACCAACACAAAGTATCACATAATTGTGAAGTGGAAGGAAAATGATGCGTGGTGTTCAAGATTTTTTACAAATAAAAATCTGAAAAGTGTGGCGTGCATATGTATTCAGCCCCCTTGAGTGAGTACTTTGTTGAAGCACCTTTCGCCGGTGGGGATGGTGTGCTCAGGTTGATGTGCAGTGTGAGGTTTCCACCACACATAGCGTTTTGCATGTAGACCAAAAAGTTCAATTTTGGTCTTATCTGACCAGAGCACCTTCTTCCACGTTTGCTGTGTCCTCTACATGGCTTGTGGCAAACTGCAAACGGGCCTTCTTATTGCTTTCTTCCAACAATGGCTTTCTTCTTGCTGCTCTTCCATAAAAGCCAGATTTGTGGAGTACACGACTAATAGTTGTCCTGTGGACAGATTGTCCCACCTGAGCTGTGGATCTCTGCAGCTCCTCCAGAGTTACCATGGGCCTCTTGGTTGCTTCTCTGGTTAATGCTCTCCTTGTCTGTCCCATCAGTTTAGGTGGACGGCCATGTCTTGGTAGGTTTGCAGTTGTGCCATACACTTTCCATTTTCGGATGATGGATTGAACAGTGCTCGGTGAGATGGTCAAAGCTTGGGATATGTTTTTATAACCTAATCCTGCTTTAAACTTCTCCACAACTTTATCCCTGATCTGTCTGGTGTGTTCCTTAGTCTTCATGATGCTGTTTGTTCACCAATGTTCTCTAACAAACCTCTGAGACCTTCACAGAACAGCTGTATTTATACTGAGATTGAATTACACACAGTTGGAGTCTATTTACTAATTAGTTGACTTCTGAAAGCAGTTGGTTGCACTGGATTTTATTTAGGGATATGAGAGTAAAGGGGGCTG